GTATTTTATATTTATTCTATTAATATATATATTTATTATATATCATATTATATAAATAAATATGATATATAATAAATATATGATATATTATATAAAAATATATTATATATTATACAATAAAATATATACATATATCATATATAACTTAATATAAAATATAATATAGTGTATTTTATAGTTATTTTATTGATATATATTTGTATTATCTCAGATATATTATATAGTGAATTATTTTATTAATTGTTATTTTTATTATATAATATACATAAAATAATATTATATAATATATAACGTAATGTAAAATATAATACAGTGTATTTTATATTTATTTTATTGATATATATTTCCATTATATAAGATATATTATATAGTGAATTATTTTATTAATCTTTATTTTTATTATATAATATACATAAAATAATAATATATAATATACAACGTAATGTAAAATGTAATATAGTGTATTTTATATTTATTTTATTGATATATGCTTGTATTATATAAGATATATTATATAGTGAATTATTTTATTAATCTTTATTTTTATTATTTTATATATATATATATATAATTTAAATATTATAATTAAAGGACTTGGTTTCTATGTGGCCAAGCCCGCATATATAGAAATGCGGGCCTATTAATAAATCTATTTTTGAGATGCAATTTTTTACTTAATTTTTAAGAATATGTAATCTCTAACATGGACCGTTAGTTTCCATTATTTTTAGATGGAGTACCTACTTGTATCCATCTTTAAAATGGGTGCTTTACACTTTTTGGACCGTATATATAGAAATATTGTCTAGCCTGCATGAAACAATTTTTCATAATTAAAATATATAGTATATTTAAAATAAATATTAGTTAAATATTATCAAAATATTATATATTAAATATTATTTATATAATAAAGCTATTCCAGTTGAGTTGTATGCGGTTTACATGGATCTGGACCTAGACCTGAATAGGGTTCAAGTCTAATATTTGGACATGGACCCGACCCGTTGGGTTCAATTCTTGAACCCATACCAAGACCTGTGGTCTGGACATCAGGTCGTGGGTCGGGTCCATTGCTACCCCTAGCTAGGATTGGCCCGGTACTTACCTTGAGAGAGAGAGAATAATAGAGAGAAAAAAAAAAAAACATAGAGGTATTAGAGAAAGGGGGGTGAAGAAGATAATGAATTGAAGGGTGAGGTTTGTATACGGTGCCAACCTTAAACAATAAATGCTGCTCAAAATCTTGTTACAAGATATATTTTTGATGTCAAAACTCTCATTATGGCCTAAGTGTTTATTTTTTAATGTATTATGAAATTGAAAACTTTAAAAATAGTGTAGATCTATCAGATTTATGAACACTTAAAAATTTTAAAAATGGACTATTTAAAAAATATGTTATAATATATATTATTTTTAAGATTTAAAATTTATTTATTTTTTATATCCATAAATATCAAGATTAAGATGGTCAATTAGAGATTTTTCTAATGATAAAACAATATTTTTTTTTATGAGTTTTTGAGATGTACTTTACTTCCACGTTACGAGGTACGCATCTTATATTATTTTTTTTTTTCTTAATCGATGGAATGCAAACTTCGAGAAAAATAAAAAAAATACAAAAAAAAAAAAAGAAAAAAAAAGAGAATGAGAATGAAGGAATAGGGAGGGGAATTAATAGGGATAGGGATAGGGATGCCAACTCTAAAACGAGGGAGAATGAAAGATAAATGGAGAGAGAGAAAATTAGTGATGGGATGCGTGCGATGAAAGGCATATTTAGAGGGCACGGATTTCAAACCCATTAAATGAAAGGGGGCTTTGGGAGTGTTTTGGAGTCCGTATGTCTGTCGGCCGTTAAACCACGCTTCTCAATTTTTTTTTTTTTTCCGTTTTCTCTCTCCTCTCTGTCAGCCAAAACCTTTCATGCTCCCAAGGGATCATACTATACCAAAAAAACAAGTTTATGGGACTTAACTATGCTATTCTTCGTAAAAAAAAAAAACAAATGAGATTGTTTACAAAGAGATTATTTACTTTTTGTACAAAAAGGCCATAACTATTCCCACTCAATAGAATAGCTATTCTCACAACAAATGGAATTTCGTGTTTAATCAATGGTGCTCTTACAATCATATATTTTGAAATATAAATGACAAGAATAATTTGTGACTTTTTTGTGTAAAAAGTAAATGGTCTTTTTTTAAACAATCCCATATAAGTTATATTTTTTATCGGCTTGAAATAAATAATGCTAAATATTGAAGGGAAACAATCAAATTTTTGAAAGGTAAAATCAAAGTGTTAAAAAAAATTTAATTTTAAAATTTGTAATATAATCATATGGAGATTTTTATGTGGTTCTAAAACTTTGGATCAAACTTTTTTTTATAAATTAGTCTTCTCCCTGAAGTAGAGAGATTGAAAAAGATTGAGTAAGATGTCATACATAAAATTAGAGTTGGATGGACGAAGTAGAGATGTGCATCCAAAGTTTTATGTGCTTGCTACATATCATTGAGATTGGAGGGGAGTTTTATGAGACCGTTGTAATACCAACCATGCTTTAGAGGACGAAATTTAGGGTGGTCAAAAAACAATATATCTATAAGATGAACATAGCTAAGATGGATAAATGGAAAGACAAGAAAAGATAAGAGATAATACGATAAAAAGTAGACTTAGGCAAACTAACTACGTACAACATACACTTAATACAATGTCAGTTAATATATAAAATTTGGTTCAAATGGAAGGATATAAAAAAGCAAGAAGAATTCTTAAAAAGATGTGGATATAAATAGTGTAAAAATATTATAACATTTGATCTAACTAAAATATGGCTCTTGATAGAGAAAAATAGAAAATCAAAATACATATAAGTAATCTCGAATAATTGGGATAAGACTTGGATGGTACCGTCTTCTTCCTGTACCGTCTATGTTCGCGCGGGAGCATAGTATACATGAATTCTTGGAATTTCAAAACATTCCTCCCTCTCTCATATTAACGAAAAAAATCTCTGAAAAAAGAAACGAAAAAAAAAGGCAATTCTTCTGAATTTTAAAATAAGACAGTGAAACGAGAAAAGAATGAAGTGAAAACCCTCGGGAGCGACGCTTGCAGGGACGATTACCGCAAAAGTGGAAGAAGCTTTACTTTCTCTCTCTAATCCTCTCTGCTCTCTCTCTAGAAGTGGAGTACGCTTTTTCTTCTCCCCAATCTCTCTCTAGGAGTTGAAGCTTTTTCAAGCTCTCTCTCTTTCAGAAGAAATGGGAGAAGTTTCTTGAAGCACACTCTCTCTAAGCTTCTCTCTCCCCTGAAAATTGACGAGGATTTGAGGTTTCGGAATGCTTGGGCGCTTTGGTATTCTGCTTTAGGTTCGTCTCTATCTTAATAATGGTTTTGTTTCTGCTTCATGAAAACTCTCTCTCTCTCTCTCTCTCTCTCTCTCT